ATTTTTGATATATTGTTTATTATTTGCCACAAAACTCAGAAACTGTGCACACCTCAACTGTTTTTACTGGCGTTTATCTACGCCTATTTGTGTGATTTGTTTGGGCTGTTTATCTTTGTGTGATCTGTTTGAGCTGTTTATCTACGCCTATCCGTGTGATTTGTTTGAGCCGTTTATCTTTGTGTGATTTGTTTGAGCTGTTTATCTACGCCTATTTGTGTGATTTGTTTGAGCCGTTCATCTTTGTGTGATCTGTTAGAGCTGTTTATCTACGCCTATCTGTGTTATTTGTTTGGGCTGTTTATCTTTGTGTGATCTGTTTGAGCCGTTTATCTTTCTGTGATTTGTTTGAGCTTTTTATCTACGCCTATCTGTGTGATTTGCTTGAGCTGTTTATCTTCGCCTATTTGTATGATTTGTTTGAGCTGCATATCTACGCCTATTTGTGTGCTTTGTTTGAGGTGTATCTATACGCCTATTTGTGGGATTTGTTTGAGCTGATTATCTACGCCTATTTGTGTGAGTTGTTTGAGCTGTATATCTACGCCTATTTGTGTGATTTGTTTGAGCTGAATGCTTACTGTTTCCTTTATTTGTTTTTGTTTTTGTAAAACAAACATTTGTGTCTTATAAAATTGTAAAAAAATAAATCATTGCTACCTTTGACCATTTTGTTATTTGTTTTATTAAACTGTTTGATAAAAAAAAATCATGAGATTGAGGGAAACGTCGTGTTCGCATATGCCAAAGGGCCAAGTAAGGGGTTGGCATGGTGCATCGGCCGTCGTCCGTCAACTTCTTCTTTAAAACACTACTAGTCCTTCATGAAGGCAGAGGGACGGGGCCCAATAAGAGGAAAAGAGGTAATCTTCAAAAATCTTCTCTTTCTGTACCAATGGAGAGTTTTTAACCAAATTTGTTCTGGAGCATCTTCGGAGAAAGAGTCACTCAATTGTGCATAACAGAGGATGTAGCTCCACTTGGGACAGAGGGCATAGGTGTTAACCTCTGAAACCTCCAATTAGGGAGACTTCCCTCATTCCACATTTCCAATGAGGGAGAACGTTTTGCTCAATTATCTCTCCCTTTTTAGTATCAAAATAACTCCAACAAGCATTTATCGGATTCAGACACACCTATTATGATCATTACACATACACTGCATTAACCAGATCATTTGACCACTTGATGTACATATAGATTTTGCGTTTGTGCGAGTTTGGACTTGAATGAAGGAGTTTCAATGGGTATTGGTAAATTTTGGTTAAAATGAGAGAGGTTTGACATCTTTGGGAGGGGCGTAACAATTGGGATAATAGTGGAACATCCTTCTTAAAGTTTTTCTCTTTCAGGATGAATGGAGGGATATAAAACAAAAGGGAGCTCAGTTTTGATTAAATAGAGGGGCGGGACCGAATAAGGGAAATAGAGGTATACCTTAAAAATTATTTCTTCTTCCATACGAGTGTAGGGATTTTAACCAAATTTGGTGTGGTTTTTGGAAAAAGGGGACTCAATTTTGTACAAACGGAGGGTGTGTCCCCTCTCCTGGGGGCAGACCTCAATAATGGAAACATGTAAATCTCCAAGAAAACTTTTTCTTTCGTACTAATGGAGAGATTTCATCCAAATTTGTTCTAGAGCATCTTTGGGTAAAAGTTACTCAATTTTGTATAAGTGGAAGGTGTGGCCTCTTAGGTCAGAGGGACAGGGCCTAAAAGGGGAAATGGGCGTTGATCTTTTTAAATTATATTCCTTCCGTAACAATGAAGGGATTTTCACCAAACTTTGTCTGAAGCATCCTTGTGCAAAAGGGACTCATTTTTTTATAAAAGGAGTGTTGGGACCCTAGAGGCAGAAAATCATGACCCAATAGACGAAGCTGAGATAATTCAATAAAGTACTTCACCTCCCATATTTGAATTGGTGGATTTCATCCCCTAACCAAATATACATGCTACCTGGATGTCCATCCGTGGGGACTAACTCTCTGGTTCATGGAAAGTGTTGAGATCCCCTTCCCACAACCATACACTCATGTCCTTGATGTTTTACCGACCAAAAGGGATTTAGTTCTTCTAACAGCTTGTATTTCTGTTATTTTTTTGTAGCAGATTTAAATTGAAAATATAATACCAGGTGAGCAATAAAAGCCCATGGGCCTTTTGTTTTACCAATACTATTCATACAATTTTAGGGCCATAGATGTATAATTTGTTGCTTTATCTTTCACTAAGTTTCAAAGTTTATTTCGGTTATTAGTCCCCCACGGGTCCTGGGGAAGAGAACAGGGGGCCATAGGTTTGCACTCTGTTTGTCTGTCCTGCCTTCGATACAAATTCCATCCCTCCGAAGAGTTTGCATGGGTCATATCTTCTATATTATTTCGCAAGGATTAACCAGATTTGTTATACAAGTACTAAAAGGTGGTCACTGTGACCAATGCGTTTACCTTTGTACCTAGGTAATAATTTTGTAAATATACTGTATCAACATCTTGTCATGTTTTGGTGAAATGACATGCAATTATATCATCCTTTAATCCTTAAGGCAAACTTTTTTCCTTCCCCTTTAAAAAAATATATATATATTTTGAAACTAATTCAAATTTTAACAGAATTGCAGTAACATGTTTTTTGGCAAACATAGAAGTATTACTGGTAAATGTCCATAAAATATTAATGATAGTTTGATGTGTAGGTTGGTTAAAGGGAAACAACTTTATATCATATGCCTTAATATTTGTGTTTTGTTAGGTTATTAATGTGAAGGTTGGTTAAAGGGAGACAACTTTATAACATATGCCTTAATATTTGTGTTTTGTAGGGTTTGATATGAAATGTGAAGGTTGGTTAAAGGGACACAATTTTATATCATATGCCTCAATAGTTGTGTTTAGTTCAGTTAGGTTATAAATGTGAAGGTTGGTTAAAGAGAGACAACTTTATACCATATGCCTTAATATTTGTGTTTTGTTAGGTTATTAATATGAAGGTTGGTGAAAGGGAGACAACTTTATATCATATGCCTTAATATTTGTGTTTAGTTCAGTTAGGTTATAAATGTGAAGGTTGGTTAAAGAGAGACAACTTTATATCATATGCCTTAATATTTGTGTTTAGTTCAGTTAGGTGATAAATGTGAAGGTTGGTTAAAGAGAGACAACTTTATAACATATGCCTTAATATTTGTGTTTTGTTAGGTTATTAATGTGAAGGTTGGTTAAAGAGAGACAACTTTATAACATATGCCTTAATATTTGTGTTTTGTTAGGTTATTAATATGAAGGTTGGTGAAAGGGAGACAACTTTATATCATATGCCTCAATATTTGTGTTTAGTTGGGTTAGGTTATTAATGTGAAGGTTGGTTAAAGGGAGACAACTTTATACCATATGCCTTAATATTTGGGTTTTGTTAGGTTATTAATGTGAAGGTTGGTTAAAGGGAGACAACTTTATAGCATATATGCCTTAATATTTGAGTTTAGTTGGGTTAGATATTAAATGTGAAGGTTGGTTAAAGGGAGACAGCTTTATACCATATGCCTTAATATTTGTGTTTTGTTGGGTTAGATATTAAATGTGAAGGTTGGTTAAAGGGAGACAACTTTATATCAGAGGCCTTAATATTTGTGTTTTGTTAGGTTATTAATGTGAAGGTTGGTTAAAGGGAGACAACTTTATATCATATGCCTCAATATTTGTGTTTTGTTGGGTTAGATATTTAATGCTTATCACTTATGGACTCTAGTTAAGGTGAATCTGTGTTATATAGACCTGAGAAAGTGGTAATCACCAAGATGATTTAGTCCCTTATTTTTATACGAGATACTGATTGATGTTTAATTGTTTAACAAGATGGAATTATGAACATTGTTAGGAGGAAGGTTGTAAAGTTACAACTGAAATGATGTCATCCAGATTAAAAAGTGAATATTGACCTGCTGTTTCTTAATTTACTAACACCAGGTGAATATCACAAATAAGACACTTCCACGTGATTAGTATTGAACCAATGAGGAGGTAGGAAAAGTGGGTGTCATCTAGTATAAACTTGTGGATATCCGAAAATGTACAGTTTTGAAATAAATAAACTAAAAATATGCACGTTTTCTCTTTTGTGTTATAGCCAAAATGTTCAGTATTCCTACGGTCATCCTTGGCCCCAAGTGAAAACCTACTAATATTTATTTGTAAAGCTTGTCCTGACATATCGGTAGTAAATGATTTTCCCTTTAAAATTTTCAGAAATAAAGGTCTAAAAATATCTGTATAGTGTATGACTGGCAAAAATCAAACTGCTTTTGTTTGCAATGTTGCAAAGCATTACACACAAACATATTTATGTAAGGGAATATATGTACAAGTATTCTCTTTGTGAATAAATCTGTACACTATGATGTGTCCCATGTATAAATATTTCTTTTATAACACCTACCATGAGTATAGGTATCCATTTCTTTACATCACCTCTAATGTATATATATTTCAAAATCACATCCTAGATATATATATATATATATAACAGGAGAAAGAGAAATGCAATGGCCAGACCAGGGTTGGAACCCAGGACCCGCTGAACTCTAGATGAACGCTCTACCAATTGAGCTACCTTTTCGCAGAAGATTGACCTAGTCCAGTTCCGCTATATTCCTCCCTCTTTTTTCTAAGTCTTCGCCCCCCCCGAAAACACCACTATTTACAACCCAGAAACAAGGGTTGACAAGCCCGCCAATTTTGTTACAGGAGAAAGAGAATGCAACAGCCAGACCGAGGTTCAAACCAGGGACCCTCCGAACTCTAGGCGGATGCTCTACCAATTGAGTTATCTGGTCACCAATGATCGACCCAGTCCAGTTCTTCTTCACATATTTACATTTTTATACATCAGCTCTTTTGTATATACATCACCTCCCATGTGTTTTAATTAAATGTTCCAATTACTATTGATCTTGTGATGCATTTGTGACGGAATTCAAGCATACTTAAAATATTTCGGGAAAACATTCAACTTTTATTTTAGTTATCTGTTGATACAAAGTCAAATTTACAGATAGTGTATCCATTACTTCGTACTGTATGGAAGAACATTCTAATCTCTTTATAATAATAATAATAAAACATTTCTGTCTGATTCCTGATTAATTTCTTAAATGATCATTCTAGTTCCACTGTCCTTAAAAACAATGAATGTTGCTAAGCAACACATGTGTCAAAAATGTGATATCCAGTTCCCTTCCCACTGCTGAAGGACATCACTCCACACTCAACTAGAGGTTTCTTTCTGCCACTAGATAGACAAATCTTGTCCAACTGGTCACAGACATCTCGGAAGATTTTTTGGCTCGATACCACATCTCTTGGGTCTATGTCTTTGAAAAATACAACCTGAAACATAATATACAGAATTCAGGTAAACTAGAACTTCATTTATATAACTGATGAGTTTTCAGCTTAACTGTATTTTACTCATCAAAAACACACATGAAAATAGCATATCAAACTGTCACAACATCTACTGGTCCGTTCCAGAGAAGATAAATCATATAACCTGGTATGAAATACCATTTGGACAAAAAGTTACCGATAATGGAAATATTGGTAACTCTTGGAGGAGAGGATTTGGGCTTATTAAATTCAAAAGAGGTATGGCTTTAAAAACATTCTTAAAGATGGCTCTGCATATTTCAATTTTCATGGTATCCATCGATGCATCCCTAAGCTAAGTATATTAAATTCTTTATAAATGAAGGATGATGAAGGAAATATGGGTAAAACTTTAAACCACATTATTTAAATACTGGTGGACATATTGTAACTATTTAATATGTTTCATAAGGCCAAGCAAAAAATAGTTTGTCTCTGGTAGCCCTTCCTTCCCTAATTTTAGTGCCTACCTGAAATTGTTTTAAGCAATTTTCAGAGAAGCAATGTTAAGGTCAGGATCACTTAAATATGCTACCTACCTACCTACCTACCTACCCACCTACCCTAATTTTTTCAAACATGTTACAGGAAACACACTTATTTTTTGTTTGGCCTAACATATTCAATTAAGTGTGATATGGAATTGGGTACTACAACCCCAGACAGAGATTTTGACACAGTATAACATAGTGTTTGTAGGTAGGAGGCATATCTTACCGCTTCATCTCTCCAAAGATTAGCCTGTATCCATCCTGTATCATCTCGGATCAACAATCTCAACAGGAATGTGTAGATCAGGTCCACAGGCTCGCCTAACAACCAAACAAAGAATATACTAAGGCCCCTTTTGTGCATTCAGTTCAACTGTTTCAACCACCACAAACTAAAATGCTATTTGTATTTTTACTTCTTTATAAAGCAAGGTTGATTTTAGGATATGTTAAAAAATTTAGTGGATGCATAAAAGAAGGATACATTACTCTTCATATATTTTTGTTTATTTGTCACAAAACTCTGAAACTGTGCAATTTTTAGCTTTGCCTACAGTTTGGTCCGAGTGCGTTTGTTTATTGCCGAATATTTCTGTGCCACCTGAACCATTTCAACCAGGATATACATGTAGAAGCTTAGATTTTCTGATTTAGAGAAGTTGGAAACAATATGTTTAAAAAGAGAGAATGACCATGGGAAATTGGAGTTAAAAAGAAATTAGAGAGTAGGATTGGAAACAGACTTGTATAGAAGCAGGTTTCAAAAAAAACTGACCATTACAGATTAGACCTTAAAAAAGAAAAGCACTGCTTCTGGTGGCAAATAAATTTTACAAAGAACTTGCCTAGAGGTGGAATATACTGGTCCAAAAGATTTCATTTATCGGTACATATATATATATTATTACATATATTAGCATCTATAATATTATGGTCTTTTAACAGATAAAAACCTTTTTATCAGTCCATCATTTATTTTATATCAAAGTTATATATCACTGGTCTGTCCGACAAATTGACATTAAATTTTCCCTTGCTCTTGGACCAAATCTTCTTACCCGGGGACATCAAACCTGAGATATTTGGAAGTAGTCTTAGTAGCAGGTTTGAAATGTGCTGACCACTAGATACAAGGCTTGGAAGAAGACTGACCAATACAGACTAGGATCAAGATGGGTCTAACTTGACCATTAATTATAACCATTAGACACAAGGCTTAGAAATAACAAAGACTGACCCTTAGGATGGTGTTTGCACGTTGGACATCTGTAGTACGGTATCCCTGCCTGTACATGGCTCACTTCCATCTCGGGATCACAGCTGCTGGACGAGAGGAAAGGCTCATCAGTAAGTCATTATATTGTATAATGTCTCATCTTTAATAAGTGGTTTTATAAAATATCAGGATAAGTAAATTTATTTTCTATTACCAAACAGTCATGGTGACGGTGAACTGTCTATTATGGATCTTCAAAATTTCATTTTCGTACGCTTCACAACTATTTGTGACATTGTCGCAACTGATTATCTCAACCCTACCATTGTTACCAATCTGAAATTCAATGTAAATTTTAGATCTTTAGAATTTGTCATTACAAAATCAAATTGCCGAAACAAGAATGTATGTGCCACATCTTGGATGATTCAAGTTGAAATGTCTAGACTGATACAGAATCGTGCATAGCTGAGATCTTTTTGATATAAAACAAATGGAATCAGACAGCAGCATAACTTCAAACATTCAAACCATCAGCTTTGATATGGGTTTAAGTCGTCTGTAATCTTCAAAGCACATTGTTCAGTTATTTTAACGTCTTATACAATCAAATGGCTAACCCTGAGCCTTTCATTTTGTCATGACATATTACAAGGGTCTAGAGAAAACCCATGGGTTCTGAAGATCATGGCATGAGAGGAATAATATTTCACAGGCCATCACAACTGACAAATCTCCTCATGAGTCAAGCATTCTAAAACAATACATCAAATACAAATAGAAATATGAATATTTTTCATATGGTCATATATAACTTATGGTTTGACCTCTGCCCGTATGACTATCACATTTTTGGGTGCTGCATTCAAGGTCACTATTATATTTTATTGTTTTATAGAGAAAAACACATTTTAACGCTATTATTGACCTAAAAGCAGTACTCTAAAGTGTGAACTTGTTTGAGGGATGGTCCTACCTTGTAGTTGATGTTGGTTCTTCGTTGTAGTTGCTGTCTATCTTGGGCAGCGAAATACTGAAAAATCAAATCCAAAAAGTTACTTAACACTTATGACACAGTGCTTTGGACATTTCTATTAATTTAGGTATTAGGGGCTGAATATTTCACAATTTTGAATCGAATAAATAGATTTAAGTACAAATGAACATGATATGAGAATAATTAGAGAAAATGTAATTATTTTGCAACTCCTAGCCATGCTGACTGAATCTATATTGTCAAAGACATGACAGCTGATCTCAGCTGGTGTAATGCATCCAGTTCATTTAACATAAGTTTGTTTGACGTTGCAATCATAGAGAAAAATACACTTGATGTTCACCAGCATATCACTTTTATACGCTAAACGTTTACTTGGAATTCTACAGAATTTAAACTTATTTTAAATAATAGCGACCAAAAAGGGACATCAGATAGTACAGAAAGCAATCATCTAAACCAAAGTTTGTTTGTGTTTTACGTCCTATTAACAGCTATGGTCATTTAAGGACGTGCCAGGTTTTGGTGGTGAAGAAAAGCCTGATTTGCCGGAGAAAATCCACCGACCTACGGCCAGTACTTGGTGACTGCCCGACGTAGGACTTGAACCCGCGACCCACAGGTGAAGGGCTAGTGGAAGCAGAATGTCAGACGCCTTAACCACTTGGCCACCACATGCACAGCCCCCATTTAAACCAAGGGCTGCCCAAATTCATGTTAGCTAGATAACATACAATAAACACTCATGGAATTTTCAAGGTCTCGCAGCCGACAAGGAACAGGTTGATTTGAAGCTAGTTAAAGCTTGAATCATTGGAACCTCTACAACTAACAGCAGACAGAGAACAGGTTCTACAGCTGAATTGTGCATTGTTGAGATGCTGTAGACTTAACAGCTAAAAAAGCATCGGTTCTTTGATTATATACAGCCCAACGTTGAATCCTTCTGATGCTGTAGATATATTATTATATCGTAGTAATTCAAACCCTAAGAACTTTTTGCATGTTACAATCATTTTGATAATAAGAACGTCCTTAAAATTTCAGTAAAGTCAGGTGTCACTGTACACAGGTAAATGTTGAAACAAAACAGTGTAATCTGGAAACCTGTGTATTTTGACACTAATTCGTTTCCAGTGGTGTTCAGTTTTGACATGTTTCACAGTGTTGTATATAACTTACAGACAGTGACACTGTGGACAGTAGAGTCTGACCAGATCCTCAGTTCAGTTTTGACATGTTTCACAGTGTTGTATATAACTTACAGACAGTGACACTGTGGACAGTAGAGTCTGACCAGATCCTCAGTTCAGTTTTGACATGTTTCACAGTGTTGTATATAACTTACAGACAGTGACACTGTGGACAGTAGAGTCTGACCAGATCCTCAGTTCAGTTTTGACATGTTTCACAGTGTTGTATATAACTTACAGACAGTGACACTGTGGACAGTAGAGTCTGACCAGATCCTCAGTTCAGTTTTGACATGTTTCACAGTGTTGTATATAACTTACAGACAGTGACACTGTGGACAGTAGAGTCTGACCAGATCCTCAGTTCAGTTTTGACATGTTTCACAGTGTTGTATATAACTTACAGACAGTGACACTGTGGACAGTAGAGCCTGACCAGATCCTCAGTTCAGTTTTGACATGTTTCACAGTGTTGTATATAACTTACAGACAGTGACACTGTGGACAGTAGAGCCTGACCAGATCCTCAGTTCAGTTTTGACATGTTTCACAGTGTTGTATATAACTTACAGACAGTGACACTGTGGACAGTAGAGTCTGACCAGATCCTCAGTTCAGTTTTGACATGTTTCACAGTGTTGTATATAACTTACAGACAGTGACACTGTGGACAGTAGAGTCTGACCAGATCCTCGGGCGTCTGGACAGGATGAGGGTGATACTCCTCAATTCGACCCAGAATTCGGAACTTGTACGGAACAGAGTGTGACTGGATATCCTTTATACTGGTCACCTTGACGTGGGGGTGGTTCAGAACCACTGCAATCAGAAACATAAATGTAAAATTTTCAATGAATTTTTTGTCCTCACTCCTGCTTTTATTGCTTTTTAGCACTTACATATTAGTTTTATTTTTGTTACATTTGGGGCCTGAAAAACATGTAAAATATTAACCCGGCAATTCTGTTGCCTTTCTGAAAGAGTTGATTGTGCAAAGTAAACCCTGCAAATTTGTTTCCAGAACAATATTTCAAAACTTTAAATGTTATACAGTACACATAACACATCAATGTACCGACAGAGTTGTAACCCACATATGAGTAACATCACCTGTTTAAGTAAAGATTTCAGTATTGTTCCCAGTTGCCCATGATTGCTTATGAGATAAAGGATAGTCAAAATTCAATATGTTTTAGTAGAACAGGGCCAGTTTACATGAACTGTTACAAATTCCTAACCCAATACAAATGCAATAGGAAAAAGATGTGGCCAGTACCTGTCTCTGTCTGTAACATACATCTGTCAATAATTTCCGGAGAAGCCGATTGGTTACGAGAGGTGTCACATGATAATTCTAGAGCTGATTGGTCGGATGTAATATCAAATGCTGATTGGTCACAATTTTGTGGGACATTTCCTCCTACAGAACTTGACCTCATCCGTTTGCTAACAGAACCATTCTGAAGGTCATTCTCGGCGTCCCCTGTCCTTTTCCTGTTGTTATTGTCCTGTTGGGTGGAACTATTCACAGTACTTTCCTGAATACTCTGTACCTCTACTGCCCCACTGTTTGAATCGGACTCTTTCATCGACCCCTCAAACAGATCCATAGCCTCGCAATCATCCAAGTCATCACCAATGGGCGGAGCTAATCTGTCTAAGGTATCAATCAATGTCAAGACATCTTGTGACTCCGCCTCCATGAATTTTAGCCCCCGTCCAAACGAAGTGCCTCTATGGAGGACAAGTTCAAGGGTAGGCAGGGCCGACATGTTGTCCCTTGCTGGCGTGTTTTTTAAAATGGCTGCATGAAGATTGCATAGTTTGATGAACTGCCCTGGCTGCAAAATTAAAAAGAATTTAAATTCTGTGTGATAACTATTCCTATATTGAGGGACAGGCCTCAGCCCTGGAGATCCAAATAATAGCCTGGTAATAATATTTGTTTAATGTAAATAATGTACAGTATAAGGAGGTTCAAAATAGGTTTGTTTTAATTGCAAAATTGGTACATGCACACTTGGAGGCTTACCAAATCACAGAGTAGTCAAGATTAGCCCTGCAGTGTTGAAAACTTCAAAACTTGCTTTAGGGCAGATTATCAAATGATTCCTGAAAACCCTGTGATGATGACCATACACTTCATACCATGAAGTGTTTTATTGCACTTTTGGATGTATTTCTGGCAACAAGTGCTGAGTCTCATTAATGGATTCCTGTTGAGATTTTGGATTGTAGCCGGTGAGTCAGACCACGAAAAAAATAATTAAAAGGACATGAAGTTGATACTGAATTTGAGAATCATTTAATATGTGCTATCAAGGATGTCAGTGTTCTGTCAGACCATTGTATTTCAAATTTGGCAAAATCCTCCGCAAAGCCTCGGGTATTACCAAATTTGAAAAACCCTCAGGTGAAATTTCCCTATCCTACACCCCTGTGCATGAAAGAGTCTTATAATCTCACTTAAATGTATATATGTATATCTTACCTGTATTATGTATATCTTACCTGTATATATGTATATCTTACCTGTATATATGTATATCTTACCAGTGTATATGTATATCTTACCTTATATATATGTATCTTACCTGTATATACGTATATCTTACCTGTATATATGTATCTTACCTGTATATATGTATATCTTACCTGTATATATGTATATTTTACCTGTATATATGTATATCTTACCTGTATGACGTATATCTTACCTGTATATCTTACCTGTATACATGTATATCTTACCTGTATGATGTGTATCTTACCTGTATATAGGTATATCTTACCTGTATATTTGTATCTCTTACCTGTATATATGTATCTTACCTGTTTATATGTATATCTTACCTGTATGACGTATATCTTACCTGTATTATGTATATCTTACATGTATATATGTATATCTTACCTGTATATATGTATATCTTACCTGTATGATGTATATCTTACCTGTATATATGTATATCTTACCTGTATTATGTATATCTTACCTGTATATATGTATATCTTACCTGTATATATATGTAACTTACCTGTATATGTTTCTTACCTGTATATATGCATATCTTACCTGTATATATGTATATCTTACCTGTATATATGTATATCTTACCTGTATGTTAACTGCCGAGACACTATGATCATCATAGAGGGCAACCTCCACAGCCAAGTCCTTCACCCTGGAATCCAGTTGTTTATCAGTTCTTCTAACGTGAGTGTTAGGGTCAGCCTCCATTTCCCTAACCATACTGACAGGTAACAAAAATATCATGATTCTCCCTCTATACTGACAGGTAACAAAACATATCACAATTCCCTCACCATACTGACAGGTAACAAAATATATCATGATTCTCCCTCTATATATTGACTGGTAACAAAATATATCACAATTCCCTCACCATACTGACAGGTAACAAAATATATATCATGATTCTCTCTATATATTGACAGGTAACAAAATATATCATTATTCTCCCTCTATACTGACCAGTAACATAATACATCATAATTCTCTCACTATACTGACAGGTAACAAAATATATCATAATTCTATCACTATACTGACAAGTACCAAAAATATCATAATTCTCTCACTATACTTACAGGTAACATAATATATCATATTTCTCTCCCCATTCTGACAGGTAACAAAATATATCATCATATTCTCACTAAACCGACAGGTAACAAAAATATCATAATTCTCTCACTATACTGACAGGTAACAAAAATATCATAATTCTCTCACTATACTGACCGGTAACAAATATATCATAATTCTCTCACTATACTGACAGGTAACAAACATATCATAATTCTCTCACTATACTGACAGGTAACAAAACATATCATAATTCTCTCACTATACTGACAGGTAACGAAAAATTATGTCATACTTTTCTCACTTTACTGACAATTAATGAAAAGGACTCAGAATTCCTTTAAAACAGTAGCAAACCAATATCATTCTTAAATTCTAAATGCCTTGATAATGTGAAATATCTTTGATGTTCACACATTTACTTACTAGATGGTCTGTACCATCCCAGACCCTGAACGTCACACATTTACTTACTAGATGGTCTTTGTACCCTCCCAGACCCTGAACAACCCCAAATTTACTTACTAGATGGTCTTTGTACCGTCCCAGAGTCTGAACAACCCCACATTTACTTACTAGATGGTCTTTGTACCCTCCCAGACCCTGGACAACCCCACATTTACTTACTAGATGGTCTTTGTACCCTCGAACTCCGAGACCCTGAACATCCACACATTTACTTACTAGATGGTCTTTGTACCCTCGAACTCCCAGACCCTGAACAACCCCACATTTACTTACTAGATGGTCTTTGTACCCTCGAACTCCCAGACCCTGAACATCCACACATTTACTTACTAGATGGTCTTTGTACCATCCCAGACCCTGAACGTCACACACGTGTCATCCACAACTTGTACGGAAATCACCTGCAGCGAAAAAGTCGCCATTAAGACAAAAGTACTGATGGTAAAACACCAACCCATCAATCTTCAAAATAAACTTTACTTAATTTCAAAACGAACATTGACGATTGTTTGAAAAAATATCTTTTGTAACAAAATTTAAAATGGTGTCCTCATCAAGGCTTTAGGAAATCTTCATTTCTAATTGTTTAGTTTTGAGATTTTCCTTGGCAGTGAATTTTCAAAATTGGAAAATTGAGGAAAAAAAGATAACATTAAAGTATTTAGCAAAAACTTATATGTCAGTCCAATTATGCCTTTTCAATGAGGTTTGTGTCCTTATAATTGTTTGTATCATGAAATGTTTTAAGTGTGATATTTTTTTTCAAAATGATATTTTAATTCCAAATTAAAGTGAAAGATCCATGTAACTGTCCCTTGTTTCTTTTGTCACCATACTTATATTTACTGACAAATTGTTTCATGTTCAGGAATTTTCTCGGCAAAAACTAGATCTAAGAAATTATTCAATTTCTACTTATATCTCCCCTTCCGGTAACTATCTTACCTGACATATTAGATCTAAGTATATTCCTGGAACGATGTCCTCAATCTGTTTGTTTCTCGTTTTTTCCTCCTGACTCCACTTTGTCTGATCCTTTTCCTGCCAACACCTCAGCTCCTCGATCTTTGAAATACAGGGACACAAAACAATCTAATCTGGACACACTAAGCAATAATCCACTAAGATTTCATGAGCTTGACACGATCAAGGCTTTCTAGACTGAGAATGGGATCTCATAGCACTACAGTAAACACTTAGTAATAATCCACTAAGATTTCATGAGCTTGACACGATCAAGGCTTTCTAGACTGAGAATGGGATCTCATAGCACTACAGTAAACACTTAGTAATAATCCACTAAGATTTCATGAGCTTGACACGATCAAGGCTTTCTAGACTGAGAATGGGATCTCATAGCACTACAGTAAACACTTAGTAATAATCCACTAAGATTTCATGAGCTTGACACGATCAAGGCTTTCTAGACTGAGAATGGGATCTCATAGCACTACAGTAAACACTTAGTAATAATCCACTAAGATTTCATGAGCTTGACACGATCAAGGCTTTCTAGACTGAGAATGGGATCTCATAGCACTACAGTAAACACTTAGTAATAATCCACTAAGATTTCATGAGCTTGACACGATCAAGCTTAAGACTTTCTAGACTGACAATGGGGTCTCATAGCACTACAGTAAACACTTAGAAGTAAACCACTAAGATTTCATGAGCTGGACACGATCAAGCTTAAGACTTTCTAGACTGAGAATGGGGTCTCATAGCCTACAGTAAACACTTAGAAATAATCCACTAAGATTTCATGAGCTGGACACGATCTGTAATTAAAGAGGTTTAAACATGCTTGTGAGAAATACAGAAAATTTAAATGTCTAAGACAACAATTAGTAGTTAAATTTGCGAGTAGATATGTTGTTCACCTTTTCTGTATCTCTCTCAGTGAAGGAATAATTGTTGGAGGAAGCCTTCGGTTCAATGGGATCACTTGCTACACCGCTGACACACAACCAGGAAAACCCAGGGCTGTTCTGGCCTTGTGGGGCTCCATTGTACATAGATACCTAGATATCAAAGTGAAAGTACAGGTAAATACAGCAACAGGTAAAACATGAAATCTCCATTGTACATAGATACCTAGATATCAAAGTAAAAGTAAAGGTAAATACAACAACAGGTAAAACATGATATATGCACTGTACATAGATACCTAGATATCAAAGTAAATGTACAGGTAAATACAACAACAGGTAAAACATGATATATGCATTGTACATAGATACCTAGATATCAAAGTAAATGTACAGGTAAATACAACATCAGGTAAAACATGATATCTCCATTGTACATAGATACATGGATGTCAAAGTAAAAGTACAGGTAAATACAACAACAGGTAAAACATGATATATGCACTGTACATAGATACCTAGATATCAAAGTAAATGTACAGGTAAATACAACAACCGGTAAAACATGATATCTCCATTGTACATAGATACCTAGATATCAAAGTAAATGTACAGGTAAATACAACAACAGGTAAAATATGAAATCTCCATTGTACATAGATACCTAGATATCAAAGTAAATGTACAGGTAAATACAACAACAGGTAAAACACGATATCACCATTGTACTTAGATACCTAGATATCAAAGTAAAAGTACAGGTAAATACAACAACAGGTAAAACATGATATATGCACTGTACATAGATACCTAGATATCAAAGTAAATGTACAGGTAAATACAACATCAGGTAAAACATGATATCTCCATTGTACATAGATACCTGGATTTACATGTAAAATATGACACCTTCATGTTGAGGAAAATACACAAACAGGTAAAGCATTCTCCATTGTACATAGATACCTAGCTAGATGTACAAATAAAACATGACACCTTCATGTACAGGTAAATACAGCAACAGGTCAAACATTATATCTTTAAGCAAAGGTCAATGTAGGTATAATCTCCATTGTACATAGATACCTAGATATCAAAGTAAATGTACAGGTAAATACAACATCAGGTAAAACATGATATCTCCATTGTACATAGACACCTGGATGTCAAAGTAAATGTACAGGTAAATACAACAACAGGTAAAACATGATATATGCACTGTACATAGATACCTAGATATCAAAGTAAATGTACAGGTAAATACGACAACAGGTAAAACATGATATCTCCATTGTACATAGATACCTAGATATCAAAGTAAATGTACAGGTAAATACAACATCAGGTAAAACATGATATCTCCATTGTACATAGACACCTGGATGTCAAAGTAAATGTACAGGTAAATACAACAACAGGTAAAATATGAAATCTCCATTGTACATAGATACCTAGATATCAAAGTAAAAGTATAGGTAAATACAACAACAGGTAAAACATGATATCTACATTGTACATAGATACCTAGATATCAAAGTAAATGTACAGGTAAATACAACATCAGGTAAAACATGATATCTCCATTGTACATAGACACCTGGATGTCAAAGTAAATGTACAGGTAAATACAACAACAGGTAAAACATGATATATGCACTGTACATAGATACCTAGATATCAAAGTAAATGTACAGGTAAATACGACAACAGGTAAAACATGATATCTCCATTGTACATAGATACCTGGATTTACATGTAAAATATGACACCTTCATGTTCAGGAAAATACACAAACAGGTAAAGCATTCTCCATTGTACATAGATACCTAGCTAGATGTACAAATAAAACATGACACCTTCATGTACAGGTAAATACAGCAACAGGTCAAACATTATATCTTTAAGCAAAGGTCAATGTAGGTATGTACAAAATATGACACCTGCATGTACAGGGTAATACAATTATAGGTAAAACATGTAGATAAAGGTAAATTATTACACCTGAGACAGGTAACATGGCACAGGCAGGGACAGATAAAACAATAACACATGCACAGGTAAAATGTAATAAAGGATACACCATACCCCCCTCCCCCACCCCACCAATCCCATACTATGTTGTAATCTCCCCTCTGAATGTTGTGTATTTTGCAGGTGTGGTACCTTATGGTAAAGAGCACCACTGCATCATTTATAACTAAAAAGAAGAGTTCCACTTCACACCTGTTTATGCTTTCTTGTATATACATGAAGAAGATGACAAAGTTTGATTTGCCCTGAGTTACATCCCTTGCCTAGGTATTCATTTATACTTCTGATGCTGTGCATATAAAATTCCTCACTGAAACTTATTTCTATTTTAGAAACGTTGGATTGGCAATGTATTGGCCTCAAATTTTATCCCTAAAGATTTGATGTTCTTTTTGCCTTTTTTTTCAAATTCTAAAATTGCATTGTGAGATATGACTTACTGGAATACGAAATATACATTTAAGCAAATATTTCATGCTAGTGACATGGGTAATAATACATTTAAACTTCATGATACTCTTTACCTTAAGTCTATGGAAGCGAATGATGTCCCCAACATCTACTGAAGGAAGCTGGGCCTGATCCCGATGGAACAGCAGACATTTGAGCTTCTTGTCTGCACCTGCTTCACACAGACTGGGGTCAACCAAGGTCACCAGCATACTGTAATCTGGGGGAAAATTATCACATATTACTAATAGGCTTCATCAGCAGGAAACAACATGTGACACATGAAAGCAAACTAGGTGTGCACCCCTTGGGCCTGTTCGTTTATGCGGAACAACCAGTTCATCCATTTTTAAATGTAACATTTTCAGGTATAAATCCTGGGGGACCTGCAAAAGTTTAGGCAGACCTTGCAGGGCTTTGTCAAGACTCGCCTGAAAGCAGCATCAGATTACTGGGTCAGACCTTTTTTCATAAATGAAAAACAGTGGTCCAACCCGTTCAACCATTTGGACCGCGATAAACGAAAACGGCCCAGGTTTCATCTAATTGTAAATCTGGGGTTACTTCCCTTGAATACTGCTTGGTTTTACTTACCACTTCCCCTCGTTTTACTCGGGGCTTTAAAGAACTTGACCACTCCATAGATATCCACGACTGTATTAGGCTTTAGAGAGCTGAGCTGGGAGTAACTGTAGACCTTCTTAGTAGCATCTGTCTTTTTAGACTGCACAGCCTACACATAAAAAAATACACATGTTTAAAAACAATTGTTTTAAACAGGTCCTAAATTGTCCAATCCAATTCAGACTTCAGACCATAGAGGCCACATGCAGCCACATAGACTTCTTTTACCTAGCTTTGGCTTCCTCAAATTAATCAAGTTAAGCTGAACTTAACTATTGTTGTCATCACAATTAGGAAAACCCTGCATTTATTTCAGGCAACTCTAGGAAGGTTTCAGAGGCGGGGCTCAATAGAGGCTTTATGGGTAATCAATTCGGAAAGACAATCTACATTGTACACGATATAAGTAATAAACTAAAATTACCTTAGTTGTACTTGATGTCAGTCCATCAGGCACATTGACCCTTGAGTTCTGACCATTCACAGTGACAGAAGTGGATGGTTCCTGGGAATTCACCAAGCCTGGTTCGGGTTCAATATACTGAAAATCATTCAGTTTGAATAATTTTGTGCGTGCTTTGAACTGTTAAGTTCTGTACTTTTTTTATCTTCACATGAAAATATAATTTAGTATTTATGCAAATGAAAATATACATAATTCCTAAAATGGAAAATATTAGCATCTTCTACATTTTGCTTTGTAAAGGTTCATGTGCAATATATGTGAATCACGCAATCAACCGATAAAATAAAATATTCAATGGTATTGCATTTTTAAGATAGACCAGAACGATTGCTGAATAATACTTTACCTACACACATTTACAGGCAAGTTTTACAAATGGCTGCACCCATCCCAAAGATCTGTGTAAGAGTTATTCCCCTTTGTTTGCATTTTGTTAATATTTAGAATGATTTGAGAGATATCAATAGATGCATACTTGTAAATTTTGTTAAAGGTGTCATCACAACTGCTCTATCTTCACCCATTTAATTAATAAATTATTATTGTCTGGTAGAGATACTCACCCAAACCTTTGGAGTGGTCATATCCTCATCCACCACCAGCTGACATGGATGTGATGATGACTGGATACGAGAGTTCCCCTCTATCTTAAACCCAGTCAACACCAGGGTGTACTGCAACACAAGGGAGATCATTCAGATAGGGAGACATCCCAATGTGGGATACAATTCATTAAGAGAAATGATCCAACAAGAGAGACAATCCAGTATACAAAACAATGCAACATCAGAGACAATAAAGCAAGAATTTGGTTTGGTTGTGTTTCACTAACAGCTATAGACATTTAAGGACGTGCCAGGTTTTAGTGGTGTCTTTGGAACATAAAGAGAATATCACATTTTTGATTGATACCTTGAAAATGTATATCTGACATCAGAGTATGTAAACATCACACTGTGCAGAAGACAAATGGTGGGCTAGTTGATTCACATAATCATGCAAACGAGTACCGCAGTAAGTTCTTTTCTTGTGTCCTTAAAAGAAAGGTCTTTAGTTTTTGGTAAGAATATTTATAAGTAATTCAGTATCATTTATACAGATTTAACTGATAACAAAATATCCCATCATATAGATAGAAACTACATACTTACATCTTTTTGTATAACATCCATTTCTTTAGCAATGGAGCCAGTCACAAAAACCATGATTTGACTTAACGCATCATCTTTATCTGTATGAAGAAATTCAACAAATTTAATGTGAAACTATAAGTTTATTTATGTAATAAACTTAAAATGTCTGCGAGATATAATTAGTTAAGGAGACAGACATATACAAAACATTCTGATTCAAACTTGATGTTACGCCCCTCTTCTCATTTGCCACCTTGTTTACTGCCAACATATTTCAATGTCCTTTTTTTCTTATTTTCTAAAGAAGTCCTTAATACATTTCCCATAATCCATCACCAAACCCCTTTATAACATCAAGCTTTCCCTGGACACTGGTGGCAGTATATTGAGGCTTCACTGTACATGTATGAAACATAAAATCAACTTCTTCATGAGAAAATTTTAAATATATTTTTAAAAGCTGTTTCAAAACTATATCCACTATAACCAGACTTACAAATTAATGTCAGCAATAATTTTATGAGGCATGCTTTGAAAATATAAAAACTACATATTTAGCGTTTCATGAGATACATGTATCTTGTAGACAAGCTTTTAATTCAAAAATTGTTAAGTGTTAGCTTTGACCCTTGAACCTCGACTGACCACCAAAATTTAATCAGGTGTAGAACTTGACATTATCATACTATGGTGTAAATATAAACTTCATTTGTTAACGGGTTCATATGATCTCTGAGCTTGTACAGAAGCTTTTTACAGCGGTATGATGGACATACACACAGATACACTGACAAAGCCATTATGATATATATATTTTCCACTACCAAATGTGTGGTATAACTAGGCCCGATAATACATTTCATCTCTCCTTGTAAACAGTTTACACTGTAATTACAGACAAACCTGTCAAACATGTGAAAATGAAAACAGACAACGTACCACCTTGAAGACACACTTTCATGTAATCACACCACTTGTTCTTATGGAGTGCTCATCTCTCCTTGTAAACAGTTCACACTGTAATTACAACAAACCTGTCAAACATGTGAAAATGAAAACAGACAACGTACCACCTTGAAGACACACTTTCATGTAATCACACCACTTGTTCTTATGGAGTGCTGATCTCTCCTTCACTTTTCCCTACAATAATATAACAAATGTATTTCAGTTAGCTACAACTTTTATAACAACATACATGTACTAGGACAACAAACTGACAACATACTGTGACAAAATACAGACAACATATTGACAACAAACTGACAACATACTGTCACAACAAACAGATGACTAACTGTCACAACATACTGTCACAACATACTATGACAACAAACTAAAAACATGTTACAACATACTGACAACATATATATATATATACATGTAATGTGACAAAAATTATGTTACAACATACTAACAACATATATATATATATATATATTATGTGAGAACAAACTGTTACACAAACTGACAAAAAACTGACAACATTATGTGACAAATTAATATCAGTTTTTATCTCTGCAACTTTTCCAACAGGTGTCTGGTTTTCAAAAGAAGCTGGTTGATATGAGATGGCATTATTTTATTCTTTTATCACATGATTGGGACTAATTAAGGACTAATTAAGGACCAATCTAATTTTGGATTTTATTCGAAGTTATACCTGTATGTATTCTGATATATTTTAATTCCTTCTTGTATCTTTTTTTTTTATTAAATACCTGTATGTATGATATGCTTGGGTCTGTATCCAGTTTCAATTCCATTATCCTCAGCTTCTTCAGACTGTTTGGTAACTTCAAATGAATATCGCACGATTTGCAGTTTAATTTTTCCATGATTATTTCAAAGGAAATCAGTTTTGAGATGAGTTCAAATTCTCACTAAAGACCATTAAAACACCTGTAATGATAATCAATATTTAAGACAATAATTTGTAAATATAAAGATAACTGTATCTGTGAATAAGTGCAAAACATTAACAATCATCTAATTGATAAAATTTTATGAATTTATCCTGTATGGTTATAATTAGACTTATTTAAATTTATCAATTATATGGGGGGGGGGGACAATGTGACATATAACAAAGCTACTTACAGCCTAAGTGTGTTTGATTATCATAGAAATTACTTCTGTGGTACCTGAACCATTTCTGTTTTCAACTAGATAAACAAAAGCGGACTTGGTTTAAAACATTTCTCACCTTAGTCCACTAACAGGAATGTCAGTCCAGATCAACTACATTATACCCTCATTCAAAAAGCAAATATATTTTCTCCTTCCTTCCATGTTAATTTATATTTTAAATTGAACACCAAATGTAAATACAAGATTGGGAACAGAGTATGCAACAGCTAGACCAGGATTAAAACCAAAAACCTTGAAAATCTAGATGCATACTGTACTTTAACTAACTGAGCTACCTGGTCACGTCACCTACTACAATATATATATATACGACAATGCATCTAGTCGGTATTGAATATATTTTCAAAATTGTTTGAAAATAATAAAATCAATGTATATGAAATACAGATTTTCAAAAATAACTACTTCTACATTCATCGGATCACAAAATTTATCTTCAACTTACGCATTTCCGAAACCGGTGTAGGATTTACTCAGTCCATGATGAGTAAACTGAAAATAAGTCGGCTCTTGCTTGGTTTCGTTTTCGCGCATTACGTACCTATCCATTTGTAAACCTAAATTTAAGATATTTTATAATGTATTATCAATCACCAAATCAAAGTTCTAGTTTTCTATGATGAAACTCGCTATTTCCCAGCAAATGATCTTCGAAATTGAGAGTTTAGACTGATTAACTGGACAACTTAGAGGCGCAAAGTTTTGTACCTGTGATATAAAAGCGCCATTGTCTAAATCACAGAGACGCTCTGACTTATTGACCGAATCAGCTTAGCATGCAAACATTTTCCCTTCATATGTATACTCTCTACGCTTAAATATGTCTATTTACTCTCTATGTAAAGGAAATTAATTCATTTGCAAGATAATTAAAAAAAAACAATACAATATAGTATCTTTCAGAAGAATGTTGTTCTATGGTTTTTACTGGATTAATATTAAAAAATGAAAATTATTCTGATAGAGATTGTCAAAACAAGCATGGCTGACGTAGTATCCGTGGTAGAAAAGGAAAAGGAAGAGCATGGCGATGCGCCAGCTGAGAATGATGACATTGTAGAAGAGGGTGGTCAAGCCGACGCACCCAAGAAGAAGAAAAAGAAGAAGAAAAAGAAAAAGACAGGTTGACAAACTTGGCTTTACCCATTGCAGATTCGTGTCCCATGATCATGTTTATATAAGACGATTGCGATAGCTAACAATTAGGCTAACAAGTTATATATATGTTATCAATCATGATCAATAACATTAAAAGTGCTTAATCGAATTGTCGACATTTTTACTTACTTGACGTCACAGGCCATCCATTTTACATTATCTTATGTATTTACACACTCACTGATTCTTTTTATATTTTTTCCAAAATTTGCCCAAAAATGCACATATGCGATCACATCCACATGTACATGGGAAAGTCAATGGATGCACAAGGGAAGCATTCTGTTAAATAGTTCACAGGCACTTGAGTTTAGCTTTAAGAAATAAATATAATCACAACGATGAAAAAACTAATAACAAAAACAATGGACTGGTCCGTGCAGCCACTACACATATTATAATATAAGGTTTTCCCAAGAGGTGTGCGGATCAGCCGAAATCTTGTTTGGCCCCCTCCCTTTTAATTATTTTTTAAAAAAATCTCGCATAGTTTTACGGATATATATACATATACATGCTTTCTTGGTAGTTTTCACTTTATATTATTTATACCCATTGGTATACCAAACATGGGAAAAATCACTGTTTCATAGATTCCACAGTCAATATCCCAACTTTAAGACAATAGCTAAAAATGGAATGGCTTTCATGGTAGCTGATTGATATATCTTCAAATGAAAGTAAGTGTAAATATTCAAAGCAATAAATGCTACGAGTAACCATAATTTGGATGAGAAGTACAAAAACAGCGATACCAAAAATTGTAGGCTTCCAATGTGAAAAAATATGCATTCAATTTCCAATATTCGGCAGTAGATGATATTAATTCAAGTAAGCATTCTATCAATTTTAAAGATTCTAAAACAAAATATGAATGAAAAAAACCACTGAAATTGTTCAGAATAGGCTGTTTACAGTTTATATATAATTAATTTAAAGAGATGAACTAATGTTTGGAAATTGTGTTGTTTATATCAAAAAGTATAGCAGTGCTATGTTACAAGAATGAGTATCTTTTGTGACAAAGTATAACAACACATGTCTAATATAAGCATTGGGTGACCAATTTCTAAGCCCCTTTGATGAAAATTCATCAAATATCAATGTAAGTGAAGATGAAAGTGGACCGCTAAAAGATATACAGCAGATAGATATTTGTTTAAAATAGTTCATGTTTTTGATCAGAAACTACATTAATATTGATAGTGATATGTCAATTTGGTTTGGTTTGGTGTTATTTTGTTTAACATCCTATTTAAACAGCTTAGGTCATTTCAGGACATGCCTCCATGTGTGTAGTGTATGCGTGCTTGCATTTGCCTTTGTGTATATGCTTGACTTCTTGTGATAGTGCGGATCTTATGCCGGCTTTATAGTGCTATCTCACTGAAATGCCATGCTGAAGGTTCCAAGCATAGAATTCCGCCCGGTCACATTATACTGACAATGGGTGAACCAGTTGTTACCATTCCCCTTAATGCTGAACGTTAAGCAGGGAATAACAAGTACCATTTTTTAAGGACTTTGGTATGTCCTGGCCTGGGGACAGACATTGCCTCCCTCTCCTGGGCAAACGCTCAGCATTCAAGCCAAAAGTGAGGTGTTGCCAAGCAAGGTGCCTGGAAATAAAAGATAGTTAGAAGTAAAAAGAAAGAAAAAAGATCCCAAATATTGCAATGGGCGCAGCAGATTTTTTTTGGTCGCTTTTGTGTCCCCAAATAGAGGACACCAAAGCAAATTCCCAACACTGCAGGGGGGTCGTACATAGTCGCCTCCTACGATACATGCAGTGGGTAACAGCAGGTGTATTCTTTTCCCAATTCCCCACCTGCAGGGGTGTGATATGTCAAGTATATTCTCAAGTATATCCCATATATATAATATTTTGTCGTGGAGATTAATTAAGGGAAACCGCACATTATCTTTTGTAGATGCTGAAGCTCCAGATATAGAGCAGGAAGGAGGGTCTACGAAAACTGTTGATGACATCACAGAAAAGTTAGAAGGACATACACTCAATGGAGAGGCTGCTGAAGGTCAGTAGTTGATTTGCTGAAAGTGTTAAGATCGTGTGACTTTAAATCGCATTGATCCATCAATATATATTATATATCATAATACATTATCAACCATATTTCAAAAATACTTGATCTTTTCCCACGGGCACCCACAACCATAAATTACTAAATATTACATGTACAGTGCACCAATTCAGCAATGACATAACAAATAGCAATCCCTTCATTTCTATGATTCAAGAGCTTTATGTTTGAAATATCAACTTTCAGATCAATTGTTTACTAATATCAGTAATACCTAAAACTTGTGTATTACTTTGCTGTATCACTGACATGAGATGAAACCCTGTTGTTGTTTTAGGTGAAAGCCAAGCTGGTGGAGAAGCTGTTGCAAAGAAGAAGAAGAAAAAGAAGAAGAAAGGTAGTAGTATAAAATTTAATATATAAAACTATATTGTCTTTATTGTCTGAAAATATTGTTTGCAGAATTCTGTGATATAAAAATTGAATGTTTTGGTTGGATGAATGGATTTATATATACTTACCGAGACATTAGCATATGGATAAACCAGGTCTAGTTTTGGTTGGATGAATGGATTTATATATACTTACCGAGACATTAGCATATGGATTAAACCAGGTCCTGTTTTGGTTGGATAAATGGATTTATCTGTGTGACCAAATATATATATATACTTACTGAGACATCAGCATTTGGTTTAAACCAGGTCCTTTGACCTGAAGTAAAAGGACATTTACAGAATTATAAATCCAACAACAGTAATTCCTGATCAACTTCAACAAAAGTATAGCACATCTTTAGATTTTGGGGGAAATGTAGTTTATTACAAAAATTACTTCAGATTCATGATACTTTTTAAGTCAATTCAAGTTCATCCACTGAAGTTATTTCATGAATTGTAATTACTGAAAGGTCAATGTGGACTTCATCTCAAGGTCAAATATAAAATCTCAACAGAGTTGAATTTGCTTGTAGTCTGCTCTGTCTTCAGATTTATTTATTATCCCCTCGCAACGAAAGTTCGAGGAGATATAGGATTCCGCCCACACATACATACGTATGTCACACTCTTTGTCATCGCTCTACTGACTTATTCCTCAACAGAATATCATGAAACTTCATGCATGTTTGGTATGGCAATGCCTTGAACAAGTTTACGTTTCGTGCTTCTATGTTCAAGGTCAAGGTCACTTACTATTTTTAGATAAAAAATTGTCATCACTCTAGCAACTTCATTACTCAAGTGTTTGGTACAGTAATGCCTTGGACAAGTACACGTTTCCGTTTTTTATCTACCAACATCATTCTCAACAGAATTTCATGCAAATGTTTTGTGTGGCAATGCCTTGGACAAGTTCACATTTCTGGTTCCTATATTCAATGTTAAGGTCACTTTAACTATTTTTAGAAAAACATTATCATCGCTCTGTTGAATTCGTTCCTAAACAGAATTCATGCAAATGTTTTGTGTGGCAGTGCCTTGGACAAGTTCACATTTCTGGTTCCTAATTCAAGGTTCAGGTCACTTTAACTATTTTTAGAAAAACATTGTCATCGCTTTATTAAATTCATTCCTCGATGCAATTTAATGAAACTTCATACAAGTGTTTGGTATGGTGATGCCTTGAACAAGTTTGCGTTTCAGGTTACTGTGTTAAAGGTCAAAGTCACTTTTACTATTTTTAGGGTAAAAAAACTTTGTCATTATTTGAGCGACTTCATTTCCTCTTACATATATCACAATGTGTGAATGTGAGGGGATTTGTATCACTTATGATGCCTTGTTATATTTATTCATATAATTGCTCTGCACTCTTCCATTGCAATGTGTGGAAATGCATTAAGTGTTGTGAGACTATATCACCATGTGCTGTTTCAAGGATTTCACAAACTGATATAAAGTAAAGCACAATATTCAAATAAAATAGCATTACTACATTGAAATATTAAGTAGATGGTGGTGTGGTCCTATGAGGTCCTATGACATGCTTTGCTGTCATGCTTTGTTGTAGGACTTCAACACCAAAGGCTGAAACATTCATTTCTTAAATAAAAACTTAACAAATAGTTTACAAAGCATGTTCTTATTAACTGAATGCTGTACATATTTGACATCACAGGTGCCGCATCATTAATACTACCATTTACTCTTTTTCTTGTCCCACCATTAAAGAGTTATTTGAAAGTAAAAAAATCTTTCATATATATTTTGTTAAGATTTCGAGAAGATTTTGCTATCCTCCTTAATTTCCCTGATTGCTTTACATGCCCAGGGTATTTAAGGGGTAAAATATGGTAGTTTAAGTCCATAAAAACAAAATTAATCCTGGGAGGTAGCACATTTTGTTCAACAAAAACAACTACATGTGGCATGTATCTAGTGTTGTAAAATTTGAATTCTCATCATACTGGAAAAATTATTACTTTTCAGGAGGAAAACAGCAAACCGACCCACCATCAATACCAATCTCTGAACTGTACCCAGACGGTAACTACCCAGAGGGAGAGGTGACGGAATACCCGCCACTGAAGGATGAGTACGTTATCCAAACAGTGTCTCGTACAATCTTAGTTCATAATTATATAATCCTAGGTTATTGTAAGGACTGAAAGAAACAAAAAGTTAGGCCTAAAATGTAACATATATTATTGCCTTAATCTGATTGACCCAGGATAAAAAACTACTCAAAATATTTTTTTGAAAATTTGAAATTGAATTCAAAAGTAGCATTCAAAAGATGAAATCATGGTTTTGAAGTGTTTACAACAAATAAGAACAGAAAAGCAAATATTTTCTTTGCTTACTAACCAAACTTTACACCCTAGGTCAGGTATATAAGCAAACACATTTTGGCTGTTTGTGTAGTTCTGTATTTACCTACATGTTTGACATGAATGTACATTTTAACCAAAGTTAACTGATACTCTTTGCTTTGATTTAAAGTTTTAAATTTCAAGGCTGCCAATCAGAAAATCACAAACATTTGTAAAGAATAGTATGAGTATATGAATTATGGAAAGAAACATTGATTGATAAATATCCTGTAATTTGAATGTTTCTCTGAAAATATTTGAATCTCGCCAAAAATATGAGTAAAATGTTTCTGACTTTCATTCATCATTTCAGTCGAACTGCCAAAGACAGATTCACAAATGAGGAGAAGAAGGCACTGGATCGTGCCAACTCGTATGTGTACCAGGAGGTACGACAGGCAGCCGAAGCTCATAGACAGGTAGGCATCCTTACACCAGTGTAAAAGTCACTGAAAATGGTAAAAATACACTTGTATGTAGACAAACAGGCTCATACACAGGTAAGCATCCTTACACCAGTGTAAAACTCACTGTCAAAATATACTGGTATGTAGACAGGTAGACATCCTAACACCAGTGTAAAACTCACTGTAAAAATACACTGGTATGAAGACAGGTAGACATCCTTACACCAGTGTAAAACTCACTGTCAAAATATACTGATATGTAGACAGGTAGATATCCTTACACCAGTGTAAAACTCAATGTAAAAATACACTGGTATGTAGACAGGTAGACATCCTAACACCAGTGTAAAACTCACTGTAAAAATACACTGGTATGAAGACAGGTAGACATCCTTACACCAGTGTAAACCTCACTGTAAAAATACACTGGTATGAAGACAGGTAGACATCCTTACACCAGTGTAAAACTAACTGTCAAAATATACTGATATGTAGACAGGTAGATATCCTTACCCCAGTGTAAAACTCAATGTAAAAATACACTGGTATGTAGACAGGTAGACATCCTAACACCAGTGTAAAACTCACTGTAAAAATACCCTGGTATGTAGACAGGTAGACATCCTTACACCAGTGTAAACCTCACTGTAAAAGTATACTGGTCTGTAGACATGTAGGCATCCTTACACCAGTGTAAAACTCACTGTAAAAGTATACTGGTCTGTAGCCAGGGAAACATCCTTACACCAGTGTAAAACTCACTGTAAAATTACACTGGTCTGTAGACAAATGGGATTACTTCCTCAAATTATTTTGATGATGATACAGAACAGTTCTTTACTTTGTGAATTGTCCTTGAAAACATGTTTGTGGTACAACGTTTTGTTATTTACAGCTGTTCTGCAAAGTTGAACATTTACATGCCTGGATAACGAGAAAAAATGTACACCGAGAGCTATGAGGTTTAACCATTCAGTTAACTATGACAACTACGGTAAACCTCTGGTCAGTTCGAATCGGCGGATAGTTCGAACACATATTTTTTTCAATAAAAACAATAATTTTCTAGCTAGTGATAGTTCAAACTCTGATCGACCCTATTTCGGATAGTCCGAACTTGTCAAATGAAGAACTTAAAGTAAGATTTTTTTTCGGCAAACTCCATTGAAAGCTCGCGGCGATCAGCCCCGGAAAATGCCAATACTTTGATCAACAGACACATTTAGGGTAATGGGTTGTATGTGTAAGCATTGCAGTACAGCTGTGACAGACAAACCATAAATATATGTCACAGATTTTAGCGTTGATTCATTTTTTTACATTGTTTGAAAAATACATAGTGCACAAGACCGCCAATTTCAGTTTAGGCCCCGACAATGTATAAATAACATGCGATCAGTAGAACTGATGTCACGCTGTATGGCAAACTAAGAAATCGCCTGTGTATTGTCAAATACAGTGTTAACTAAGCATTTTGATTATTTAATTGCGACCAGACATCCCTTAATTATTGCCAATCAAGGTATTACCTGTAAACGTGTACCCTCACACCAGGTAGGGCAGGACACGATGTCGCGGTAGGAATCGGCCGCCCAGCCATTGTGAGTGACGAGATTAGCATTCATGTCCAAGTCGAAACAATCCACAGGTGTCCCAATTAGCGATGGGTAATTTTGAAGGTGTCAAATAAGTTTGGTAGGTATTAGGACTATATCACTTATATTTTAAAAGCAGACATATTGATGTTCTGACCTAATTTTACTAACATATAGACCTATATTTACTGTACAGTAGCGCTTTGTAAAATCAACAGGTTATGTAGACTATGTTTTCAATTTATCAAAAGGACCATTCATTACGAAATAATATATACAATAGTTTCTGATTCAAATAAAACCTAACCACGCAAAGACTCAATATTTAGGTCTCTGATACAAGCTACTTAGTCTAACTTCTGTGTCACAAATGTTTCAACGAAAGTTTCGGGGCCTACACAATGGCCTCTGCTTCGCAATAACGATCATAATTATCACGAAATGAAGAAAGTTTAATGATCAATTAACATTGAATTAAATAATATACTATCATTTTACCCATTTATAAATGTGCCATTGTTCTATGCCAGGCCATCGTTGTTACGTATCACCTTACATTGGATATATAGAGGTATACTCCGGTGAAGAAAATATGTCGGGTATATGTTTGTGACTTGATTTACACTTTGCCGAATTTTTTGCCGATAATTCGAACTCACGCTTATTTTCTGAAGCATAATTTTGTATAATCCGAACAGGTTCATCAACATTTATTTAATTTCGTTCGAACTGACCGAAGGTTTACCGTACTGTTGAGACTCTTTAATCTAACTACTACTTGTCCAGGGGCCTGTTTGTTTTTTGCAGCACAACCGGTTTGTTTGTTTTTAAATGTAGCATTTTCAGGTATAAGTCCTGCAGGCGGACCTGCAAATATTTATGCTGGTTTCGCAAACCTTTGTCAAGGCTTGCCTGAAAGCAGCATCAGATTACTAGGTCTGACCTTATTTCATAAATGAATTATTCAAGCTCTGGTCCAATCATCTGTATAGCGATAAACGAAAGTGTCCATTTTGTCTCACCATCCGGCCAGTGATTAAAGAGTCAGATTTCTCTTTGGTATTTAAATATATTGCAATAATTCAGCGACTCTGGTGACTAGATTCACAAAGCTTGCTTGTAAGGTGTATACAAGGCCACTTTTGTTTATCGTGTTCCAAATGGTTGGACCAGAAATAGGGATGGATCAAGTGATTCAATCTGGTTTTCTGGCAAGCCTTGGCAATGTCTTTCAAGGTCTTCAATAAAACTTGCAGCTATGTCAGTTTTCATCCCTGAAATATTGCATTTTAAGTATAAACAAACACATCAACGTGAACAGGCCCTGGTGTATCTAGAGGATGCAGACTCTAATTTTATCTCCCTTTGATTTCAGACAAGAATGTATATGCAGAACTACATAAAACCAGGAATGACAATGATCCACATCTGGTATGTAACCCACACTTGGTTTCCATCTCACCTTAATTAGTTATTGATGAAAACATTAGGATGTAACTGTTTTCATATATCTCTGAAATATGTTTTTTTCGAGGATATCTAGTTTTCAGAGTATTGCAAAATAAATGATGAAAGACAAAGGCTTTGATAACACATTTGGTATATTTGTTGTAGATAGTTTCTCCTTTATAGACATAAAACAAGTACTTTACTTTCCAATAAGATGGACAAAAATCAGAATTAATAGAGTTTCTTCAACAACACAAACATTTTTTTTAAATCAATAATAACTAGTTGGATATATAGTTCCTTCAAGACCAAAAATGTAATCACCATCTATTCTCACCGGTTTGGTAAGTATTACACAAAACTAAGTTTTCTACAGTCAAACATCAGCATTTGGTTTTAAAAATATGCAATTGTCTTGGTTTGAAGAAAACCAACTGTACAATATGATCCTATGTTGGTCTGTAAGTATTAAGCATGTTTGAGTTAGAATCTGTCAAATTATTTGTACAAGTTGATGTACTTCAATCCATGCGGCACTGCATGCTAAAGTTAAATATAAGAAGTCTTTATGGAAAAAAAATATTTATGATTTACTGGCTTAGTTCATGAAGGAACAACTTTGTTGTATCTCCAAATGTAAGAATCAGTTTTATAAGGATCTCTCAAATATATGTTTACTCTAAGACAGAATTTTATATATGATTATTAATAGTAAATAAATATGAATTCCTCTTTTGCAGTGAAACACTTGAAAATATGGCGAGGAAACTAATTAATGAGAACGGCCTAGAGGCGGGACTAGCCTTCCCGACTGGCTGTTCCATTAACCATTGTGCTGCCCACTACACACCAAACGCTGGTGACCCGACGGTCCTGCAGTATGATGATGTGTGTAAGATTGACTTTGGCACGCATATCAATGGTAAGTCAACTGCTATGTAATGCCTTTAATTTCACAGGATCTACATTTTACAGATTTCTCCTGGAACAAATTTTACAGGTTCTAAATTTCACTCAACACCATTAAAATCAGTAGACCAAACTTACTGAGGGGTAAGAACTTGACAGGTTTTATTGTAGGATGTTTATCCTGACAGGTTTTATTGTAGGTTGTTTATCCTGACAGGTTTTATTGTAGGTTGTTTATCCTGAAATGTATATCTGTATGTATATACAATCCTATCGTATGTCTGCTTGGTAACTGGATTGTGTAAGATTGGTGGCGTTACTTGTCATTTATGACCCGTCAGTGAACAAGGAAAGTAATTCTGTTGATCATTAAGTCACACAGGTTGACAAGTGTATAGTAGTTTCTGATTTCTGAATAAATTGTACTTTCACATTTGATAATTGTAAACTTCCATAGTGTTAGTATAAACATTTTTTATCAACACAAACAAATTGTAGACTTGCAGAAATATTTTACGAAGAGAAAATGAAAGTTTAAATCTGTTTTGCCCTGGGAAGTAAAAGGGCCAAAAGTTACTTTCGTTCGACCAAGAAAGAATTCCTGATTAAATCTTTTGATAATATGTAACTTTGTTTTCATACAGGACGAATCATCGACTGTGCTTTCACTCTCACATTTAACCCAAAGTATGACCGGCTCAAGCAGGCAGTCCAGGATGCAACCAATACAGGCATAAAGGTATTCCCAATCTTGGCTAACACTAACTCTCACTCTTACTCCTATCCTTGCCTCCACTCCTACCTTGCCCTCACTCCAACCCTTTTCCCTCCACCTCTTCTTTGCCCTCGGCCAAACCTTACTCCCACTCAAACCCTCGTCCTTTACTAAGACCTTGCCTCTACTCCAATCTTGGCCTCACCAAAAACCTTGACCTCAGTTCAGCCCTTGCCCTCAACCTAACTCTGCCTTCACTCTAACCTTCACCTAAAACCCATAGTATGCTGGCTAAAACATGCATTACAAGATACAGTTTACTAACATAGGGATCAGAGTATTCCTCTTTACTCCCAACACACACCATGCATTTTAAATGAAACTGGTATAGCAAATCTATGAAATCATACAGTCTAGGAAAAAAATATTCACTCTGATACCATACGGATGACTAAACATCCTTTGTGATTGTGATTAATGCAACTTATTTACACTAGAGGTAAAGATAATTCTGCTTGAATTAGTGATTGACTCTAATTATGAATGAACACAGAAAATATTGTTCCCCCTCACAAAACATTATTTACAAAATCAATCATTACATTATTGTTAGTAGAAAATTTAAATCTTAATGTTACCTATCTTCAGGAAGCTGGCATAGATGTACGTCTCTGTGATATTGGCGAGTCCATCCAAGAAGTAATGGAATCTTATGAAGTGGAGTTGGACGGAAAGCAATACCAGGGTATGATACGGAAAAATAACATGTTTTATGTGTCTTCGTTAATGAATACAGAACAAAAATTGTGTTTCTTGTGATGGCAGGGACAGTTTTGAACATTGGCTTGATACGAGCCTAGAATAACTGTATTCATGGTGGTTAGGTTATCTAGGCTAATCTTAAACTGTCTGTAAAGAAACTAAACTAGATTCTCTGCAATGATTTCCAGTCTCCTATTAAAAAAAAATACCTATAAACAACTAACTAGATTTTCAGGGATTTCCAACATCAAATTGCTTTCTCTAACAAAAACATAACAAATCGTTTTACTTGTTTTGAATGTGGGCCATCTGTGATTTAAGTTTTATGATGTTTAATTTCAGTGAAAGCGATCAGAAACCTGAATGGCCATTCCATTGGGCCCTACAGAATACATGCCGGTAAAACGGTCCCCATTGTGAAAGGAGGGGAAGCCACCAAAATGGAGGTAAGTGGAGTGAGAAGTAGGGGGCCTTACAACTTCAGACACATTGATGTAGAAAGAAAATCACCTCTGCTTAAACAAAATGTAGCACTTGTAGCTATTTGGTTTTGTTTCTTTATTTTCTGTGACTGTTTCACAACATATTAGAAGTTGTAAAGTGTAAATTGAAATTCAAACTTTTATGTGGATCATTATGTCTGACGACTATCTAGGGTCTTGTTGAAATTAAATCAAGTCAGAAGCAGGCATTGAACTTTAAATTAAGTTGTATCTTTTTACAATATCGGGTTTATGATCTCGGATCAGAGAAGAAAAAGTAAAATTGTGTAAAATTATGATTTGTGTGCTGATTTAGTGGCTGTTGATTTGTAGGAGATGGAGTTCTATGCAATCGAGACATTCGGTAGTACGGGCAAGGGGATGGTTCACGACGACATGGAAACCTCTCATTACATGAAAAACTTCGAAGTCGGACATGTTCCTCTCAGGTTAGTAATGTTTTCAAGATTTTATCATAAATTGTCTTTTCGAACAATGACAGATATTTGCTTTGAAAAAGATAGTGCTGTGTTATCATAGTTTTGTTCCTTATTTTGTGTAAGTAATGGGCATATTTTCATTGTGCACATCCAAATGTTGTTGCTGAAGTTGTCCAAACGATAAATAGATGTTGGAGTAAATTTGTAAACTGATGTGCAATTCAATATGATCGGAAGAACAAAGAAGACAATATTCCATTTTCCATATCATCATAAACACATTCTCAATCTGAATAACTTTGGTGACTGATAAATTCCTGACACTGTTGTAAAGTGACCTTATTTTGTTTTTGCAGGGTCCAAAAATCTAAGCACCTGTTGAATGTGATCAACCAAAACTTCAGCACGTTAGCTTTTTGTCGTAGATGGTTAGATCGGCTGGGAGAGACCAAATATCTGATAGCACTTAAGAACCTATGTGACGTTGGCATCATAGACGCCTATCCTCCACTGTGTGACACTAAGGGCTGCTACACAGCACAGTTTGAACACACAATACTGTTACGGCCCACCTGTAAGGAAATTATAAGCCGAGGTCCCGACTATTAAACCCGTATGGAAGTTCTTGGTATAGTGCTATGGTTGGGATGATGCAGAGATTATAGGTTGTCCTTACCGGAGATAACTGTAGTGCTGTGGTGAAGATTGTGCTGAGGTCAGAGTGAAGCAGACCTCTACATTTACACTTGTTGGAGAAAAGTGTAATTATGTCTACGAGATTTAGAGCTGCTGATGACTAGGACAAAAGATTTAAGTAGGTTGTTGTCCCAGCAATCTTGCGGATATCAAGGTTGGATTTTAATGATATCTTGTCCTGCAGAAAACTGCTGTATGCTGAATCACGATATAATGGAGAATTCAGAAAGAAAGAAAGTTCCTTTAATTTACTTCAGTTTTCCATTGCTTGTTGCAAATAAATCAATATATAGAATTTCCTAGTTTCTGAAGTACTGCCAGGTGCATTGGTGCTTTTGTATGCTAAATTACTTCATGGATGTTCCAACAAGTATACCAGCTGTTTTTGAGGACCGTTTTAGGAGGATATAATTTAACTGTGAAACCAAACTTTACTGACACCAAGGAAGACAGAATTATAAGTTCAGATATGACACAATTGCCATTAAAGGCAAGTGTTTAGGACAGAATTAAAATGGTGATTAAGGCTAGAAATTTATTTGGGATGATTCAGGATGTCTTTAATGTCAGGTTTTACTGTCAACATTACTGCGCTCCTCCAATGTAGCGTTTAGATCACCCTCTAGATGAAAGAATTGCCCAGGAAGAAATTTATAACCTAAGTGTAAAACCTTGTTGTACTGCCATCATTTGTCCAGAGATTTTTTAGCATTTTTAAGGGTTTGGCGATATATTGAAGGAAACATATAAAAGAATTCTTAAGAAAAAGATAAAAGGGGACAATGAGTTTATGTTGGTGGTAAGCAAAGTGGAAAGTGAAACAAGGGGAATTACATTGAGATTTCACTGTATTTACCAATATTTACAAAACAATTTACAAATGTCTTGAATGTGCTGTTACTTGGGAGTTCACTGGGGTGTGTACTGCAGTTATTGGAACATTTTACCTCTATCGACCAAAAACGATATTTTTTCCCTTTGGAAGTTTCTTTAAGCTCGGAACACAATTTCTTTTAAAAGTTCAATAACATGTTACATATTATGTATAAAATGTCATTTTAATCCTGTTGATGCTTTATTATCCAGACAGAAAGCTTAGTAGAGGTTTAACCTGTGTTTAGAACTTGTGCTGGAGTGTTAAATGGATTATTAACCTGAGGATTTGCCACTAGTGATCACTTAAAAAAAACAAGGGATCCGGAACATCTCAATTTCATGGTTTTGCAACAAAGAATGCTCAACTGGAAAAGGCCCTGTTTGAAATTAAATATTTTAATTAATATTTTGTCCTACCCTAGTTCTAATTTAAGATGTTCCATCTTCCCTTACAAGTAAGATGTACTGTGAGTGCTCTAAAGCTACCTGTTTTTGATATTAAAGAGAGAAATACACATACCGATATTGAGTTCTTTTATTTTGATGTGAAAATGCAAAAAAAAAAAAAACTGTTGTGAACCTTGTTACTCTGATCTTTGCAAATGTGGAAGATTTGCTTCACAAATTTAATATTCTTAAAATGAATTTTAATAAGGATGTAATTATAAGCTATAGGTACCAAACATGTCATAACCGTGATTCCCTTAGTTGTCTCCCTTCAAATGTATTCAATTAGCATTGTGAAATAATTTTGAATTACTTCAATCTTATTCAGACAATATGTTTTAATTAGGGTATCATACCCTGTATCTTCAGATTTGTAGATACATATTGGTGGTTTTAAAGTTGCAAATTAAGTTTCACTGGCAACACAGAGCAGAACATGTAAAACAAAAGTTAAGACCTAAAATATGTATTTGCCATTCTGAAAATCCTGGGGGAGTGGGGGCTATCTCTTTTCAAATTCTGATAATATCTTGCATTCAAAATTGCAACAAACACAGTATATGGGTCAGTTTGATATCACTTTATCAAACTTTTAACTTAACATGTGTAACATCGTAGTTTCATGTCGGTTCGATTGTCGTATACAATTCCTTGTTATGTCACTAGAACAAAAATAGAAAGAGTATCGCCCATTCAAAATGGAGCATGTTTAGCATATGAATTTCATTCAAATATGCTGTTATTAAGACTACCAATTACTTAACAGAAATTTAAAAAATCCTTACCTGAACAAGAATCTTAATGTGAAACTTTTCTGCAATGGATGTATCCTTAATAATGTCTCGCCTTCAAATGAAGGGAGACATATTGTATCAGTACTGGTTCTTCTAATCGCAACTTGTCTGGGCCATAACTTTTAAACTGTTAAAGATGAAACTTAAGGTAAGTCTGCATCACCAACAGAAGGTGTGCAGTGCACTGGAATTAGGTCACTGTGAACTTCACATCAAGGTCAAATAAGTGCAATATTTTCAGTAAATTTTTATTCGGCCCATAAATTTTAAACCGTTAAAGATATCTTGATCAAATGAAAAGTATACCTGCATCACCCACAGGTATGCTGTGCACTGGAATTTGGTCTCATGCCCCACTATATGCAGTGTTATGGCCCTTTGTTTATTTTTAATACCAAAATTTGTCCACAGCATAACTTCCATGTTATTTCACCTACGTTGACCAACCTTGCTATAGTTATGCATCTTGGGGAGTAGGAGTGTCACATTCTTAAATTGGGTCTCGTGCCCCACTATATAAAGAGACATGGCCCTTTGTTAATTTTTTTATACCGAAGTTTGTCTGCAGCATAAGTTCCATGTTATTTCTCCCACGTTGACCAAACTTGCTATAAAATAATGAGCCAATAGAGGAACCAGATTGTAATAAGATGTGTGATAATTCCTATTTTCATATAAATGTAAATTTGTTTATAGTCCGTAGCTGCCAAAACTTAACCATATTGTTAAGACAATAAAACCAGAATAATTTAAAAGTTTAATGGTTTAGAGTTTACACACCTTAACCTTGATGTGACCTTTCTATTCTACCAAATATGCATATTGGCTAATAAGGGGAGACATATGTTTTTGTTGACAAACACAAATTTCTAGTTGTGAATTTTATTTATCTAGATGATTCCAAAAGTATGAAAAAATCAGTTTAGCACAATATTTTTCTGGTTTGTGTACATTCACTCGGTCTTAATTGTAATGTACTGTTTTAGAAGTGACGATATTTGTTCAAAGGCCGAAGCTGTAACAAAGTAGGGCGTTAATTGTACAGTGACAGTCTTTGATCATTACTATTGATGCCTGAATCTGAGATTTTTAGCTCACCTTGCTCGAAGGGCCAAGTGAGCTTATGGCATGGTGCGGCGTCTGGCGTCAATATTTTACTATAAACAACTTCTTCTTAATAACCGCAAGGCCTAGGGTGATGATATTTGGCCAGAAGCAAACTGGGATGAAGGGCTACCAAGTTTGTTAAAATAAATGACCTTCACCTATATTCTAGGTCATGGGGGTCAAATATGTTAAAAACTTTAAACAACTTGTTCTGAATAACCAAAAGGCTCAGGATGTTGATATTTAGTCAGTAGCATGCTGGGATCAAGGACTACTATGTTTGTTAAAGTGAATGACTTTGACTTATATTCAAGGTCACAGGGGTCAAATTTGTTTAAAATCTTCAAACGCCCTCTTCTGAATAACCATGGGTCCCAGGATGTTGATACTTTGCAAGTTGCATCCTGAGATGAAAGGCTATACAATGTGTTCAACATAATGACTTTGTTCGACTTTCAATCACAGGGGTGAAATGTTTTTAAAAAAACCAGGTTCTTTTGAATGAATTTTAATCATAAATACTGATATTTTGCCTGTAGCTTTATTTTAGATCACTTTTAAGGTTACAAGAGTGAGATTTATACCAGGTGAGCGATGCAGGCCCATTGGTCCTCTTGTTATAATAGAACAGTCTTGGTTACAGGTCGACTGAAAAATCCAAGGGTGTATATATTAAAATAGATAGTGTCTTTTAGTTACCATGGTGTTTGTCATTGATGTACATCCGATGTTAATATCATGTTTACCTACTGACAGGAGAAATACCTCAAGTTGTAGTCTCTTGTGTGAAGAGTGCGTTTTAATTTTCAAATTAACCTGATTCTGATAAGATACGTCTTGTTAGGTCTACATACATATAGGCTATGTCAACAAGACAAGATACGGGCGCCACCTTTAATCTTGGCTACATTCCAGCAAAGTCAGGGAAAAATGGGTGGCAGCTTAAAGAACAATGCTGATTGGCTGAAAAACCAAGCGAAAGTCAAACGCGGAACATAAATGTAATTTATAAACGGTCATCTTGGGAAATACAGCCACTTAAGGTAACCATAAACACAAATAAACATACAGTAGGTCAAGCATCTCATTGGAAGATTATGTATAGTTCATTAAATTCATTGGAAAAATATTACGTAAAAGAATTAATTATTTAATTATTTTGATAAGGCAATATTAAGTTTCAATGCGGACTGACAAGTCGTAAGAAAGCGTTTTCAAGATTTTTGCCTAAACTACAGAATGTTTGTAGAGGTGCTTGTTTACAAGCTTTCTTTTCCTTGGATAACAAGTTATTTTCGATGGGTCTGCAATACCAGTTAAATAACAAAGAGTCCGCTTACCCATGTTAAAGTTGGGGTTATCTTGGGTCAATCCTTCGTGAAATAATTTCGTGTACAGCCCCTCTTATGTAACTGCATTTAGTAGGCCAGGTATTTGAAATACAAACAAAATAACATAGAGTGGGAGATATACCAAGTCAACGCCTTTTTATTTTTTTCATATAAAATTCTTTTGTGGATTTAATGAATGATACATGATTCAGAAAATACACTGTGTAGATGATGAGAAAACACCTAATACTTCTCGACCCGCCATCTTTCTCAAATAGAAGGAGTGGAGCTGCACAACAGGCCTTGATCCGAATTTGAAAGAAGAGCTCTACTGTTTGTATGCTTTGGGTGTTCCGGCTTTGTCAGGTAATATAATCTAGACCAAACATTAAAACTGTCACGTGGCAAAAAAAAATGTTGAATTATTCATCATCGCGTAACATGGCTCCTTGAGCAATATCTTTTTTGGAGCAAATATATATGTAAAGCTCTTGAGAAAATGTTTCATAACAAAACATCGAAATTAAAAAAGCTGGGACACAAAACAATAAGTGATAATGTATTTCGCAGACATTATGATGTCAATACTCGAGGACCACCAAAGTTCCACCCTCGGGTGGACGAAGAAAAGCTGAAAGATGTATTCTAACGAGAAGTATTTGGTAAGAACTATTTTATCAAAGTTCCACCCTCAGGTGGACGAAGAAAAGCTGAAAGATGTATTCTAACGAGAAGTATTTGGTAATAACAATATTATCAAAGTTCCACCCTCGGGTGGACGAAGAAAAGCTGAAAGATGTATTCTAACGAGAAGTATTTGGTAAGAACTATTTTCCATCTGCATTTAAGGTTTTGTTCATATATCCCAACTTAAAAAGGAACAGGAAACGTGCTACATGGGTCAGGGACAATGCCTCATTTCACCCATGTTCTCTACCTCTCCCAGGTACTAGCTATAGCTTCGTCTGTCAATACACTCATAATATAAACCTTGTTATCGTTGTTTTGACAGACAAGGATAATTCCTGTGCACCGCTCACAGGAGTCCAACTTGACGGCGGCTAAACCCTTTTTATGACCATTACCAACTTTTCTACCCTGTTTTCACAATGTTTGACTTTCAAACTACAAACCTAATAAAAAAAATAGCTAAGTATTGCCTAAAGACAAGTTAATACACATTTCAATGGAACAGGACATAACCTGATATAAAATATAGCGTAGCGCCGATACCTTACCTAGCTACAAGTAAAACAATCTGGAGTCTGTATCCATCACATCTCACGATAAATGTGTATGTTTGTTAAGCGGATCTTCGAAATACTAAGTTCTCGTTCTGCTTTTCTGGAGTATTCAACCTAGTTAACAGATGTATGTCAAGTTTATGTAAATGAGGTTTTCGTCTTGTGTTGAAAATATAAATACAGTATCCACAATAAGTCCATATTTCTTCTTATACATTATTACACAAATATTTTTGTAGTTGTGAAATATGTCCCTTAACTTGCCATACCTTACATACGGGAGTCTGACCTATCCTATCATGGCATCTCAATAAGCCCGATTCGAAGACAGATCTGCCTTTGAAATTGGATTTGGATTTCTTACAGTAAAATATATATATCGAAAATAAGCTAGGTTTGAAAATAAGCCTTGGAGTTCAGGTCGTAATCTTGCCTTGGATTGACATATTTGTATGATAACCCCAGGTAATTCTAATTATAACAATTTTATTTTGTATACTTATATTTTCCTTGGGTTTCATCGATGGTTATCCCTAACTCTCAAACTGTGAGCTGACGATCGCAGACGTCTGATAAATGATTTAAAAATATACAAC